TGCAAAGAAGTCAGATCTCAGATCCCCTCCAAACCTTCCTCCTCCTCCTCCCCTGGCTCAGCCTCACAGGCCTCAAGATGCAAATTCCTGCTCCAGCCACACTGTCCGCATTCTTCAGGGTCCCTGCTAAGTCAGCATGGTTACCTCCTTGTCTTCTCATTCTTGGACAGGTGCCTGATTTGTTCTTCCCTGCCGTCAGCGCATGTCTACTGCATTCTCGCTTGGCCCAGCTCGTATGAATTTGTTCTGGGGAGTGATGGTAATCATGCCCAGTCTCTCCATCTTACTCTCCCCATGACCAGAAGCATCTGCCTCGGTGGGTCAGGTAGTCCATCCGCCTGAGACCCACTCGCACTCCAGCCTTCCCCAGTCCTCAGGAGCGGTCCCAGCTTGGCACATGGTAAGCACTTACAACAGCTCTTCTGATAATATTTCTGTTTGGAGTCAGGATTCTCTCTCCTAAGCATGTTTCCTGTGGCAAAAATTCACATGAAGGAAAAAGAGGCACCTTAGGATGTTTTCCATGATGGAGGTTCACTAAGGGGAGAGTGGATTTTGTCATGATTAACTTGAACCAAGTCATCCACTAAGCTATTATAAATCAGTGAGGGCCGCTTGCAAATGTCCCTGTCCATCCATGTGCAGAGAAGGGCACGTGACTGTGTTTGAGGATTGCAGGGCAGCCAGACCTCAGGTCCTTCGAGGCATGGCATGGCACGGCAGGTCCCAAGCTGTGTATCATCTACTGCACCAAATGCCTGCCCTGATAATCTAATTGTAAGGAAGACAGTGATGCTAGAAAACTGACCTAAGCCCTTTACAAACCCATGGCATGCACAACCAAAAAAATAGCCTATGTAACCTGATCATCCCAAATGAAAAATAAACCAAAATATTCCACAGTTTAAAACTTTTGAAAGCTGACATAGCACCATAAGTGAAAAATTCCACACCATGAAGCTTTCATTTCATGCACAAACTTATTTTTTAAATATTGGATAAAATTGCAGCCAGTGCTATGGTATAATGCTGTGAAACCTGTGGTGCCAGCATCAGGTATGGGCAACAATTCAAGTCCTGGCTGCTCCACTTCCTACCCATGTCTCTGCTAAGATGCTGGGAAAATAGCAGAAGATGGTCCAGGTGGCTCAACCCCTGCACCTAAATGGGAGGTCTGAATGAAGCTTTTGGCTCCTGGCTTGGAAACAATCCAGTCCCAGCTACTGTGGCCATTTGGGGAGTGAACCAGTTGATAGGAGATCTCTCTCTGTTTCTCTCTCCTCCCAGCCCCCCCCAACCATAACTCTCCCTTAAATAAGTAAATCTTTTAAAATAAAAAATAAATAAAAATAAAATGTGGTATAAATTGCCTTTAGACTGTGTATAAAAGGTGCATATAAAACAGAAATGACTGTTTAGGGCCCGGCATGGTAGCCTAGTGGCTGAAGTCCTTGTCTTGCATGCGCCAGGATCCCATATGAGTCCTGGTTTGTATCCCGGCTGCTCCACTTCCTTTACAGCTCCCTGCTTGTGGTCTGGGAAAGCAGTCAAGGACAGGCCAAAGCCTTGGGACCCTGCTCCTGCGTGGGAGACCCGGGAGAAGTTCCTGATTCTTGGCTTCAGATTAGCTTAGCTCTGACCATTGCAGCCGCTTGGGGAGAGAACCAGCGGATGGAAGATCTTTCTCTCCGTCTCTCCTTGTCTCTGTATATGAGCTTCTGACTTTAAAAAAATTGCTGTTTAGGCTTCTGTCTCCTCCCCCAAAATGTCTCATGCGGCATACGAATATATTCCACAATCCATCTCAGTTCTAGTTCCAAACGTTTTGCATTAGGGCTACTCAACCTGTATGAAGACATTAGGGAGACATAACAAAATACCTTCTAGAATATGATAAGATGATAAAATGACATCCTGGAGACAGGTGTGGATACTCCTGAGTTGCTGTTGGATTTCGTCGCTGTTGCGGATGTTATAATTGTGTAAAGTTTCACGATTTCACTTCTGTTGATGTTTGGGGCCGGGTTTTTCCTTATGGAAGGATTGTTTAGCAGCATTTCTGGTCTCTGACCACTAGGTGTCAGTAGCACCCTCTCCTTTAATTGCAACAACCACTAGGTTGAATTAGGCAGTGGTGGTGGTTACGTAACATTGTGAATATTTTTAAAACCGTTGAACTGTGCACTTTAAATACATAAATTCTCGTGGGGTTTTTTTCTGAACAAAAAAAATGTAATTTAAAAATGTCTCCAGGGGCAGTATTTAGCCTAGCAGTTAAGATGATAGTTGGACAGACTTGAAGCAGTGGCTCAACAGGCTAATCCACCTGAAAGCACCTGCATCCAGCTGCCAGTTCGTGTCCCGGCTGCTTCACTTCCCATCCAGCTTCCTGCTTGTGTCCTGGGAAAGTGATGGAGGACAGCCCAAATCCTTTGGATACTGCACCGTGTGGGAGACCCAGAAGAAACTCCTGGCTCTAGAGCTGACCATTGTGGCCATTTGGGGAGTAAACCAGTGAATGAAAGATATTTCTCTATCTTTCCTCTCTGCAAATCTGCATTTCACATAAAAGTAAAATAAATCTTTTTTTTTAAAAAAAAAAAAACAGATGTTAGTTGGGCACCTGCATCCCAGATCAAAGTCCCTAGCTAGGTTCATGCCCTACTCCCCTGCAGATGCCTCTTCCTGCTGACATACACCCAGGAAGGCAGCAAATGACATATCAAATGCTTGGATCCCCGACACTCATGTGGGAGACACGGGTTGGGTTCCAGGTTCTGGGACTTGGCCTGGCCCTGCCCCAGCTGTTGTAGGTGTGCAGGCTTTTACCAGAGGTTTGGAAGTTCTCTCTCTCTCTTGTCTTCCTCCCTCCCCTCTCTCTTCTTCCCCTATCCTATCCAAAGCTATCCTGTACAGTATTGATCCCTTGCTATCCACTGGCGTGTGGGAATGCATCCCATGGACAGACATCTGCACAAAGCAGGCCCCCGGGAAGGGGATATAGCATCAGTGTCTGTTGCTGTAAACACCTGCCCAGGCTGGTTGCAGCTGGTGAGCCATTGTTTGTATCTCCAGGGAGAACACACTGTCAAGCATGGCTGCAAAGTCCCTTAGCTCTTGTCTCATCAACAGGTGGAGTCTTGGCTCCCCACTCCTCAAATACAGACTCTCTAACTGCCTGACCAATAAACTGCACTGGACATAGTGACACTGTCCCAGCATCTAGAATTCAGGCCTTAGAAATACGGCGCCTGCCACTTCCTGTCTCCTGGAACACAGGCAGCACAGGAGAAGGCAGGCCGAGCCACCCCACAGAGAGGAAACAAGACATCACCAACTCAAAAGCCAGGGAGTGAATCATCTCAGAGGTGGCACCTGCAGCCCCAGCTGGTTCTGTGTGTGGAAGGGACAGGCTGTCCCTGCTGAGCCCTGCCCCTATTGCAGGTTTGTGAGCAAATTCCAGCATTGCTGGGGTTTCTAAGTCACTGATTTTTGGAGTAGGTTGTTTGCAGAAAACTATCTTCTACTTTCCTCAGTGGGGGCCTTGGGTTTAGAAGTGGAAAACTGGGTCAGCTGTATGGACCCTGGAGTTAGGACCAAGGGCAACACTTGTTACTCTAACCAGGATTTACTGAGTGGCCACCTGGTGCTGGAAACTGCTAATGGTTAGGGAGGTTTAAAAAAACGCTTTTTTTCCCAAAGATTTATTTATTTTTATCGGAAGTCAGATTTACAAAGAGAAGGAAAAGCACAGAGAAAGATCTTCCTTCTACTGGCTCACTCCCCAAGTGGCTGCAGTGGCCAGAGCTGAGCTGATCCAAAGCCAGGAGCTTCTTCCAGGTCTCCCACGCAGGTGCAGGGTCCCAAGGACTTGAGCCATCCCAAGGCTTTGGGCCGTCCTTGACTGCTTTCCCAGGCCACAAGCAGGGGCTGGAAGAGAATTGGAGCAGCCAGGATACAAACGAACGCTCATATGGGATCCTGGCACATGCAAGATGAGGACTTTAGCCACTAAACTACTGTGCTGGGCCCAGAGGTTTTGCTTTTAAGATTTGTTTATTTATTTGAAAGGCAGAATGAGAGAGAGTGAGAGATCTTCACCCGGCCAAAAGCAGGAGTCTGGAGCTTCATCTGGGTGTCACAGTGGGTGACAGATACTCAGGCAAGTGCTTCGGCTTGCACTGCCTTCCCAGGCACGTTGGCAAGCGGAACTGGCACCTATGTGGGATGCTAGCATTGTAGCCTGGGTTTTAACCCTCTGTACGACAATGCCAGCCCCAGGACTTGGGAGTTTTACTGAATGGAATAAACCACAGAGCCCACCCTGCCTCCTGGGCACAACTCCACAACAGCAAGGACAGGACTGTTCCCCGCCTGAGAGCCGCCTTCCTGGGAAGGTCATGTCTAAGAGCTGACTCAGGAAAGGGAGTCAGCCTTGCAGGAAGCCAAGGAAAAGGCAGGGCAGCTTGAGCTCTTGCTGGGTCAGGTGGCCTGGCATAGCAATGAAGAGTGGGGAGTCTGTAGCAAAATCTGAATTTCAGCTATTCCACAAATATTTTGGGGTGGGCATGTTGGACACAGTGGCTCAGATGCCACTTGAGGTAGCCACATTCCAAATGAAGCCCAGCTGCATTTGCCCTGTTAAGGCACGCCCTGGGAGACAGCAGATGATAGCTGGGGTCCCTGCCACCCACACGGAAAATCTCGATGGAGTTCCAACTCCTGCCTTTGGCCTGGTCCAGCCTTGGAGAGGCAGCCAACAGATGGAAGACCTCACTCGATTTTGTCTCTCTGCTTTAAAAGCCAACTTGTATATGTGTGTGTGTGTGTGTGTGTGTACTCATATCCCATGCAGTACTGAAGAGATACTGCTATTCATTATTTACCTGAATTGCAAGTTTAAATAGAGTTCTATATTTTATCTGGCAACCCTTGTCAGGAGAAGGGGGAGGGTAGAGGCCAGTTCAGGAAGCTGGCTGCGCACCAAAAGCAAACAGGACATGGCAGGAAAAGTGAGATGAAAGGGGCTGGCACGGTGGTTCCACAGGCTAATCCTCCGTCTTGTGGCACCAGCATCCCATATGGGTACCAGTTCGTGTCCTGGCTGCTCCGCTTCCCATCCAGCTCCCTGCTTGTGGTCTGGGGAAGCAGTGGAGGACGGCCCAAGGCCTTGGAATGCTGCAGCTATGTAGCAGACCCAGAAAAAGCTTCTGACTTCTGGCTTTGGATCAGCTCCAGCTCCAACTGTTACGGCCATTTGCAGAGTGAACCAGCAGGTGGAAGATCTTTCTCTGTCTCTCCTTCACTCTGTGAATCTACCTGTTCAGTCAAAATAAATAAATCTTCAAGAAATGAGACAAGAACAAAGTGGCAGAAAGCCAGGATTTGTTTGGGATTTTTACTGGGAGACAGGGGAAGGAGCCCTGGAAGGGTTTGAAACGGGGAGACACAGTCAGATTTGTGGTTTATACAGATCACCTAGGGGTCAGCACAATGGCACATCGAGTTAGGCCACTGCCTGGGACTCCTGCATCCCATGTCAGAGTGCCAGTTCCAGTCCCTGTTATTCTGTTTTTCCATCCACCTCCCTGCTAATGTGCCTGGGAAAATCGAAGAGTCCCTGCCACCCACGGGAGGAGTCAAAGGATGTTCCAGGCTCATGGTTTCAGCCTGGCCCAGCCAGTTACAAGCATTTTGGGAGTGAACTGGCAGAAAGAAATTTCTCTCTCTCCCCTCCCTCCCTTCCTCCCTGCATTAGTAACTTGGCATTCCAATCAATCAGTCAATCTTCTGCAATGCAGATATAGTGGATTATTTAAGACTGGCAAAGATTGGAAAGAAACTCCATCCCCAGCCTGAAAGGAACACAGGAAGGGTGATGGTTTTAAAATACGTCCACAGGAACCCAGCGCAATAGCCTAGCTGCTAAAATCCTCGCCTTGACACACCAGGATCCCATATGGGCAACAGTTCTAATCCTGGTGGCCCTGCTTCCCTTCCAGCTCCTTGTCTGTGGCTTGGGAAAGCAGTCAAGGACGATCCAAAGCCTTGGGACTCTGCAGCTGTGTGGGAGATTCAGAAGAAGCTCCTGGCTTTGGATCGGCACAGTTCCGGCCTTTGGGGTCACTTGGGGAGTGAATCATCAGACAGAAGATTTTTTTTTTCTGTCTCTCCTCCTCTCTGTATATCTGACTTTGCAATAAAAATTAATAAATAAATAATGTCCACAGAACTTTGCATGTTTCTCCCCTGAGAAGGGACAACTTTAGTTCTCCTCTGCCAGGTACCCATGTGAGTGCAGGGGCCCAAACACTTGGACCATTTTCTAGTGCTTTTCCCAGACATATCAGAGGGAGCTGGATGAGAAGTGCAATACCCAAGATTAGAACGGCGCCTGTATGGGATCCCAGTGCATGCAAGGTGAGGACTTCAGCTGCTACGGTACCACACTGAGCTCAACGCTGAGCTCACCACCACCACCAAAAAAAAAAAAAATTAAACATTTATTTTCCCCTTTCCCCAGCTGCCAACAAGGTGCTCAGTCCTTCTACGGAAGCTAAGGCTGCATTGGGGTGAAGCCCTCACTTCATCCAGCAACTAGCACCACATTCGGCAGCACCAGCCCTGTACCCGCAAGCACCATGGCCACTGTCTCTATTCAGCCCTCATCCTGCACAACGACAAGGTGACCATCACGGAGGACAAGACCAACACCCTCATTAAGGCAGCTGACATCAATGTAGAGCTCTTCTGGTCTGGCTTGTTCGCCAAGGTCCTGGCTAATGTCAACATCAGGAGCCTCATCTGCAACGTCAGGGCTGGTGGACTGGCCCTGGCAGCAGATGCTGTCCCAGCGGAAGGCCCTGCACCCACCGCCGCTGCTGCAGCTGAGAAGAAAGTGGAAGCGAAGAAGCTAGAGTCTGAGGAGTCTGATGACAACATGGGCTTCAGGCTTTCTTGACTAAGTCTGTTTTTCTTCAATAAAAATAACAAGTTGTAAAAAAAAAACTATTTTTCATTGGAAAGACAGGTAAAATTTACAGACAGAAAGAGATATGGAGAAAAGAAAACTTCCATCCTGTGGTTCACTCCCCAAATGGCCGCAACAGCCTGAGCTGAGCCGATCCAATGCCAGGAGCCAGGAGCTTCTTCCAAGTCTCCCACTTGAATGCAGGGTCCCAAAGCTTTGGGCCATCCTTGACTGCCTTCCCAGGCCACAGGAAGGGAGCTTGATGGGAATAAAGCAGCCCAGACACAAACCAGAGCGCATATGGGATCCTATTGCTTGCAAGGTAAGAATTTAGTTATTGAGCCAACACACCTGGCTCTTTGTTGTTGTTATTGTTCGTCTTTAGAAGGCGAGACACAAAGAAAGCTAGAGAGGTGTTCCATCCGCTGGTTCACTCCTTGCCAGCAACAGCCAGGGCTGAGCCATGCAGAAGCCAGGAGCCAGAAATTCCAACCAGCACACGTCCTGCCTGGCTGACATTGTCTCTGCTTCCTAAACTGTCACCTCTGCCTCCCAAGGTGCATGTTAGCGAGAAACTGGGTCAGAAGGAGAGCCAGAACTCGAACCTAGGCACTGCAAGACAGGATGCAGGTGTCCTGAGTCGTGACTACTGCTGTGAGAAATGCCCACCCCCTCTGGACAGCAATTTCATTGGCGGCTTGGGTCAGACCACCCAGATCCCTGAGAAACCATATGTGATGGTAAATGTCACTTAAAAAGGAAGGGGGAAGAAAGAAGAGAAAGGAGATATTCCATGCTCCCAGTAGGGATGTCCAAGGGAAAATCAGAGAGAAGGTTCTCCATGGCAGCACCGCCTGCCTTCAGGAGGCCTGCTGGGAGCAGTGGGTCTATAATGCCCTTCTCCATTCTCCCAGAGCCCTCATGATGCCCAGCCCCACAGTGCCCACACTCACTGCATTTCCATAAGTCAGAATGTGGTGGATTTGCCCCCTATGTGGTGGAAGAAAGAACTGAAGTCCAAAACAGTGGCATGACCCTGACCCAGTTCAGGTTTCCCAGGTAGGAGGTCTTGTGACCAGCATGGCATTGCAGGGATGTTATGTAAGGATCTAAAGAGCAATGGCACGAAGATGGAGAGGTGAGGAGGGAGGGGAGCCTGCTGTGGTGTGTGTTGAAGGTGGAGAGTTTGTGCCTTGGAGGCAGGGTCCATCTATGACAGGAAAACACCCAGTAGGTCTCCAGCACCGCTATGGATCCAATCCTGGAGCCTGGAGGATCATTGTGGGGAAGGAGGCTGGGAAAATAACTTTTGGCAGTTCTTTTTTCTTTTTTAAAATTCTCATCTTATTTGAGAGGCAGAGAGAGAGAATGTGTCTTTGGCTTATTCATTCCCCAAATGCCTGCACCAGCCAGGGCTAGGCCAAACCAAAGGCAGGAGCCAAAAACTCCATTCAAGTCCCCCACATGGGTGGCAGGGACCCAAGTTCGTGAGCCATCTGAAATTGGTGTGACTCAGACCTAGGCACTCCAATATGGAATCCAGGTCCCAAGCAGGGACTTAACCTCAATGCCAAATCTTCTCACCAACTGTCTGCCAGAGTGAGCTTGGGGTCCCCGGGTGCTTCACGACAGATAGGGTTGTAAACACTCGCCCAATCGAGCGCCCCCTAGAGGTAAAGTCCAGGAAAGCAGCAGGACTGCCTGTGTTCCGGTTGGGTGTGCCCAAACAACCACTCTCCTCAGATATGATGCCCAAACCAGCAGGATGACTCACTCAGGGACCCGTGAGGATGTCGCTGCAACCCTTGCCCAGACAGGAATCATTAACTCCTACAGCAGGGCCCAGCTGCCAGGTACTTCAATGGGCCTGAGCCCATTTCCAACTCCAAAATACAAAGCTGTCCAGCAAAATGACTGTGGCTGACACCTGGGGGCCAACAAGTGGGATGTAGTCAATGGCAGTGCCAGAGTCGGAGGCCCCAGGGGACGCCCATTGGGCACTGGGCTTTGGAACTCACTAAGGAGCTCATTCCTCCATCCAGGAAGTAGTCATTGAGGACCTGCTGCTAGCTGGAGCCTGGTGCACCTGCCTGGAGGTGGAGGGGGTGGGGCTCACAGGCACATGAGAGAAAGGGAAGCTGGCATTAACCTTCCCTGTCCATGGGACCAACCTCTTTGCTAGCTGGCAAGGGGAGTAAAGATCTCAACAGTTCAAAGACAAGGCCCACAGAGGAGTGCAGCTGCGCAGACAGAGCAGCTGCCCCATCTGAAGGGTCCCCCTAAACACCTGGTCTTACCGCAGGCCCTCCCAGCCCCTGGAGTCTCTGCTTGCTCCATGAGAGGACTCATGAGCACCTCCCCATCTCCCGGCTGGAATGTCCCGCACAGTAGAGCCCATGCCATGACAGGGAAAGAGTGACACCTGAGTGGATATACTTGAAAATCCTGAACCCCCAGGAATTAAGTGTCCAGCACCAGAATAGGTCCCTGGTTGTTGTGATTGTTTGGGAAATGAGTCAGCAGATGGAAGATCCTTTCTTTCTTTCTTTCTTGATTTATTTTATTTTATTTTACATATATATTTTTTTAATGGAAAGGTAGACATACAGAGAGAAGGAGAGACAGAAAGACCTTCCATCTGCTGCTTCACTCCCCAAAGAGCCATAATGGCTGGAGCCAAACAGATCCAAAGCCAGGAGCCAGGAGCTTGTTTTTGGTTTCCCATGCGAGTGCAGGGTCCCAAGGCCTTGAATCATTCTCTGCTGTTTTCCCAGGCCACACAAAGGGAGCTGGATGGGAAATGGAGCACCAGGACATGAACCAGTTCCCACATGGGATCCTGGCACATCCAAGGCTAAGATTTAGCCACTAGGCTATTGCACCAGGCTTCTCCCTCATTTTCTCTATCACTCTTCCCTTAAAATAAATAACTTAAATTTTTTTTTAAATAAGTAAAAATAAACTTATTTTAGTCCCTACCACCATATGAGAGAACCAGATTGAATTCGAGCATAAGGCTTCCGCTTGGCCCAGTCCCAGCTGCTGGATATATCTGGAGAATGATACAGCAGACAAAAGATCTCTCTCTCCCTCTCTCTTTTCCTCTCCCTCTAGTGCCCTATTCCGCTCTCTTCCCCCCTCCTTTTTTTTTTTTAATTGAAAATTTACTTATTTCTGTTGGAAAGGCAGATTTACAGAGAGAAGGAAAGACAAAGAGAAAGAGCTTCATCTGCTGGTTCACTCCCCAAGCGACTGCAACAGTCAGAGTTGAGCCAATGAGAAACCAAGAGTCAGGATCCAGGGGCTTCTTCTGGGTCTTCCACATGGGTGCAGGGTCCCAAGGCCTTGGACCATCCTCAACTGCCTTCCCAGGCCACAAAGAGGGAGCTGGATGGGAAGTGGAACTGCAGGACATGAAGCAGCACCCATATGGGATGCCACACTTGGAGATGGGGAATAGGCCAGCTGAGCCAATGTACTGGACCACCCCTTTAAAAAATATAAAAAACAAATGAATTCTTAAAAATAGTTTTTAAACAGACAAAAATTATTTATGCTGCTGGAAGTTAGGCTTAGTAGTTACCCTTGGGTATAAATACTTTAAGAAAGCGGAAGTTGTGCAGCTGGGGCCTAATGCTGGTTATAAGAATCTGTGCTCAGTTAGTGTAAATCATGACACATGGCTTTTCTGTTATACTCAACCACACTTTTAAATTAAAAATATGTAAATAGTCACATGTATAGGAGTATAAAAGAGGATCTTTTTGTTTTTAAAAGATGCATATATTTATGCAGAAGTCAGAGTTACAGAGAGGGAGAGACAGAGAGATCTTCCATTCCACAAGTTCACTTCCCAGATATTCAGGTCTGGGCCATGCTGAAGCCAGGAGCCAGGAACTTCATCCAGGTCTCCCACATGGGTGGCAGGGTATGGTAGGTTGGTGTCCTAAATGGAAACTTAACCCATTATACAACACCGGCCCCTATCTAAATTTTAAACGGGCAGTAAAGTTGGAAAAGTTTTGAAGCAAACACAAGCATACCCACTGTTAATGAATCTGTCACGAAGTATTTGCTGTTTGTGGGTATCATTCATCTGTGCTGTTTCCTCTTTTGGCTTGCTTGTATTTCCTGATTTTCTGTAACAAGCACACATGTCTTACATAATGAGAAAATAATAAAAATTTGGCTCAAAAAATTTTTTATTAAAGTATGCACTTCCGCTGTCCTTTTGGAACCTCTGAGCTCTTTAATGCTGTTCTGGTTATGGTCCAAGGGCTCTGACCTCCTCTCAGGGCTGCCTGCCCGATCTCTGAAAACCCCTGTGCTGGGCTTGAGGCTTCACTCCTCCCAGCAGGCTCCTGGTGCTTCTTCCTGGAGCCTGGCTCGGTGGCAGTTAAAGCCAGGTCCCTGCACAGGTGGCTAACATCAGTGACACATCCACACATGGAGCCCTTGAACTAATCTCTCTCTTTCTCAAACACAACCAGACACACTGCCCAGAGAGAGCCCCTGGATAGTACACCCCTACCTTCCAAGGAAGGACAAGTGTGTGGACTCTTCATCAACAGTCACATTAGCTATCTGGTTGACTTCAGTGTGGCAGGTGTGGCCAGCCTCGCTGGCCTGCCTTCAGCAAAGCCACAGTCACACAGGCTCTATGCTTCCACAATCAGATGTGTGCTCTGCCGTCACCATCCTGGAATTCATCATGATTTTGAACAAGGCACTCTGCATTTTCTTTCTGTACTGAATCCCACAGATTCTGTCCTGGGTTAAGTATTCTAGAACCAGGGCAAGCAAAGGAACCATGAGAGACAAGACAGCCTTCAAGTTGTATACAACCTGACACTTCAGGTGTGTGTATGGTTGGGGAGAGAGTGATGGTTGGGCCTAGCATGGAAGTCCTCAAAAATGACACTGCCACTGTGTGTGACCAATGCTACAGATGAGAATGAGTGAACTCCACAGCTGTTTTTCCAACTTCACTT